GAGCCCGATGCGGGGCTCGATCCCAGGACCCTGAGATCATGACCTGAGCCGAAGGCAGTGGCCCAACCCACTGAGCCACCCAGGCGCCCCTTGTCTTCACTTTCTTGATGTTGTTCTGTAACACAAAAGTTTTTATTTTTGATTAATTTAATTTTTGTGTTTTGTGTGTGTGTATCTTACGTATGAAACCATTGACTAATCCTAGGTCACAAATACTTCTATTTTGTTAAGAGTTTTAAGCTCTTAAATTTAGGTCTTTGATCCATTTTTATTCTGATCCATTTTCAGTTAATTTTTATGTATAGTGGGGAGTTGGTAGTTGGTATTCCATCCCATTCTTTTGCAAATTGATATCTAGTTTTTCGAGTACCACTTGTTGAAGACTACTCTTTTCCCTGTGGAATTGCCCTAGCACCTTTAAAAATCATTTGCTCATAAGATGTATGTAGTAAGATTTATTTCTGGACTCTCAGTTCTAGTTTAGAAATATATACATTGATTTGTATTGATTTGTCCTAATGCTAGTGAGTAATGATTTTACAAAGAAGTAAAACTTTCTTTTATACCATATACAAAAGAAAAAAGAATAAACAATTATCCATGTTTTGAAAGCCTGTGAAATAGTCTATAAATGAGAATCACTTCTCAGTGAGTCTAAATATGTAACTTAAAAATAAAGAACTGAATTCTGACTAAATTTATTGCAACTGTCTTGATATATATATACACTGTCACTTCTTAATGTAGGTTAGAGTTGTAAACTGCAGTTTGGATTCTTAGCCAGCTTTGTGAATGTTGATTTTTTTTTTTCTTTTTCCTTAGTGGCTTGGGAAATGCTTTGATAGAACTGAGCAGTAGAGAGGACAGAGAAGGATTATGCAGAAACCTGAGAGTAACCGAAAGGTTTTCTGAATTTCTCTGAAGGAATAGTTGTCAAGTACTTATGAAATTGCCTAGATTGTAGCTGATGTACTTATTAGTGTACAAGACACACGACCTTACGGTCTTAATTGAGAAAGGCCATCAAGTTTGGTACTGTTTCAGAACTGCTTTGTTGGGAAATGTTAAAGTCAAAGTTATTTTTCCTCAGTTTGTAGTTATTTCTCCACTATTTTCCTATGCGGCTTGTTACTGATAAAAGATCTAGTATCAGTCTTAATTTCTTACTCTTTTCTGTTAATAACTTTTAGGGTTTTTCCTTTATTTTTGTTTTTCATAGTTTTCTAGTAGGGTAGGTGTGGGATTTTCTTTTTTATCTTATTTAGTGCTGAGTGAGCACTTTTTCTTTCTTTTTTTTTTTTTTTGTTTTAAGATTTTATTTATTTATTTTAGAGAGGGAGAGAGAGAGAGAGAGAGAGAGAGAGAGTGCAAATGGATGGGCAGGAAAGAGGGGCAGGGAGGCGAATGTGGGGCTCTGTCCCAGGACCCTGGGATTGTGACTTGAGCTGAAGGCAGACACTTAACCGGCTGAGCCACCTAGGTGCCCTGAGTGAGCCCTTTCATTTTGAGGACTCTTGTCCTAAACTTTGGACATTCTTGACTCTTACTTCTTGAGAGAAGCTTCTCTGTTTTATATAGCTTCCCTGATATTCTGAATAGTAGAATTTCTGGATCTATTTTTCACATTTCTTTTTTTTCCCTTTGCACTTTTATTTTTTTATTTTTATGTGCTGTGTTTCAGGAGAATGTGTTAGTTCTATTGTACATTTCACTGATTTGTGCATTAGCTTTATGTCACAGCTTCTTATTTATCACAACCTTCTTTTCTTTAATCTCCTGTTCTTAATTTTGGATGATTCCTGCTTTTATTTCTCCGAGGCTCTGAAGTACTCTTCTTACCTCCCTTCCACCAAGCCAATTTGGTCCTTTCGATTTTAACTGTTCGCTTGAGATGTAAGGATTGATTTCGTATTTGTTTGAAGATTGTGTACTTAGGCAACCATGTCCCAGTTGCAGATGATCTAATGAGCAGCTTGTTGGGCAGCTCCCTGCCCTAGAAGGTGGCTACTTGGAAGAGACTTGCCTTTTTTCCAAGACTACTTCTGTACTTTTTTCACCTGGGATACCTTCTAGCTTCTATTCCAAAGAGAACTCTTCCATTTGTTGGAGTTATTTCTCTGAGTTTTGTGTAATAAGCAGGGGAGATTTCATCCTGTTGAGTCAATGTTCTTGAAACCAGATGAAGTATTTTTTGAATGCTTAGATTTTACAAGAGGTTGGAAACCGTTGTACTTAACTAACTTAACACAAGAGGACATGGATGGGGTTGTATGTCTTTGGAAAAATGGCGCTAACTGATAAAATAGGAATGAAAGAAGAGAGGAAAATTTCCATGGAAGATGTTTTACAACTGGTGATGCTGAAGCTCATGCTTCAATACTTAAGGATTTTTATTTGGCAGGTTCTGGAGAGTGGGATATATGTTATAAAGGCTAGAAAGGAAATAGACTGGGTTAGCTGAAGAGGCAATGAGGGCCAGGAACCAGAGCTGCAGGTAAAATCTGATTTGGTTGTTGCTGCCCAATAGCGGAACCTCATGATAATGTAGGAGTTCTGAATTTAGAACTTAAAGTGAAAAGTGTATATAATAAAAATTACCCTTAAATTCTGTGAGTTACGAAAAACAGTATCTCATGGCCATATTTTTATCTTACTGGAGATTGGCAAGGCACCTTTTGGGAAGTACCACATAGTTTTTTCATTAGCAGTTACTAGGTTGTTATTTTACTTGCATTTTCAAATTTGTATAGGGATGATCTGTTCTTGATAGAACTTAACTATAAAATTGGTTGGACTCAACCTTTTTTTTTTTGCGTTTTAAATGTACATTTTCTGTGTCTTTTAGGGTCAGTTTTTAAAATTTGTTTTCCTATGAATTTGTCCTTATGTCTTTAAGATATTTTAGCATAAGAGTTCTCTATTTTGGACCTGTATTTTCCCCTATTTTCACTTCTTATTTGCTAGATATATAGAAATTTATACATATAAATTTACCGTTGCCAGAGGTTTGTATATTTTATTTTTCACAGAAATCAGTTAGTAGGTTTATTCAGTCAGTTCTTTTCATTGTCTGACTTATTCTTTTTTTGTTTTGATTTATTTTTTTTCCTTACGCTGTTTTATTTTAAGTTGTATGCTTAGATCATTTATTTGTTCTTTTGTACTAATGAAAGTATTTAGTTTTGAGTGTTGGCCTCTATTCCGAATTCATTAGATGAGACTATTCAGATATATTTTTTTAAAGACTGTAAAATCTCTTCCTTTTGATTCCCAATTTTCTAATTTAACAGACATTTAACAGACATTAATATACAAAAAAGAGTACAAATGAACTATCCCAGAGTGAACACATCTGTGTAACCAATACAGACAGAACCCTATCAGCTTCTAAAAATCCCCTCACGACTCTCCCTTCCTGATTGCTGCTCCACCTTTCTGTTCAAATTGTTAATACCAATGTGACTTTTAACCTCATAGATTAATTTTACCTGTTTGGAATTCTTTGTGAACAGAAACATAGATTGTGTTCATTTGGGTCTAGCTCATTATTTTTTGGGTTAACTGTGTGTTTGTAGTTGTAGTTCATTCATATATATGCTGTATAGTATGCCGCTGTATGCACATACTACCAAATAATTATCCTTTTTTCTGTTGATGAATGTTTGCGTTGAGCTGATGTATGATTGATGTGAATATTTCACAGATGATAGAAGAGTCAAGGTATACTCTTTTTGTAGGTGATAAAGTATTAGTAGACATTAAATTGATGAATTATATTCAGATTTTCTATGTCATTACTTAATTTTTTATATTGTTGACTTGATAAAGACTAGAAAAGGTACTTTTTTTTACGTATTTCTGTTACATCTCTTAGTACTCATGTCAATTCTTTCTTTTACTTTCTAACAGTTATTCTTTGTAAAGTTTAATTGTTAATATTATTTGGTTTATTGGATGGTTTCTTAGAAATTAAATGTTGGTGTAATGAGAGTTTTTTGTGGGGGAATGCTATTAAATCACTCATGATTTTCCATTTTCAGTTATTAAGAAAAAATTATTAGTGTAGCCTTTGCCATAAATGTAGGAATAGTTACTTAGCAGTGCCACCCTGTAACTAGAAGTAAAATCAGTAACAGCAGCAGTTGTGTCATTACATACTTCACTGATGTTTTGGCATACACTTGTTTTATTGGTACTTCAGCTTCAAAAATGCCTTTTAGGTAGTTGTAAACTGAGTGGGAAACTATTAATGATTTTCCCTTTTTAAAAAGAACATATGTAGTTTAGACATTATGAATTATATATTAAAAAATTAAAAAAAACTTGAGTCACAGCAATTTCTGAAAGATCTAAATAAACAAAAGAGAAAAACAGAACTTCTTAATTGGATATAATTTAACATATTTTCTGTGACCTCTTTCATTCTACTTATATAGCACAGAGGTTTTTTTGTTTTTAAATGGAAATATTTACACATAGTAAATATGAAATATCTTGTGTTTGGTGTGATCAGTTTTGATAAGTGCAAATTCTCTGTAACACATTTTACAAACTGTAGAACATTTCCCTCATCTCAGGATCTTTTTGTACTTTTATCTTTCCCCAGTCCTCATCCCCTCCACCACCCAGCTCTACAAGCAGCTACTGACCTCATTATTAGTTTTGTGCATTCTGGAAGTTAAATGTACAGAGATTTGGCTTAGTTCACCATCATAGTCTTTGAAGTTTATCCATGTTATTGATGGTATGGATAGTTTGGTTGGTCCACATTATAGCCACTCTTGGTTGATTTCAGTCTTTTTCATTTTAGTCCCTCCAGTGGGCGTTTTCTTTTGTTTTGTTTTTTAAGGCTTTATTTATTTATTTGACAGAGAGACAGCAAGAAAGGGAACAAAAGCCAGGGGAGAGGGAGAAGCAGGCTTCCTGCTGCACAGGGAGCCCAATGAGGGGCTCGATCCCAGGACCATGGGATCATGACCTGAGCCAAAGGCAGATGCTTAACTGACTGAGCCACCCAGGTGCCCCTCCACTGGCTGTTTTAATCATAGTGAATAGGCAGTCATTCCCCTACCTCTCAAGTGTTTCATATTATCTGAATGATAATTTCTGATCCTGTGTCATAAGACATTATATGAGTGAAAACTATTGTATTGTAATATTCATAATGGCCAGTCCTCTGTGCTGTTTTAAATTAAATGAGGATTATAAGTTGAAAGTGAATTTAGAAGTCATTTAATAGAAACGCTGCAGTATATAGGTAGCTGATGGACTTGAAAATTAAGTGACTTATTTAAGGTTACATAACAAGTGAATGCTGAATGTAGGTGTATTAACTTTGATTTAATGTTTTTGACCTAAAGTTTTTTTCTTATTTCTGAAAGTGTGTTTTATTTTCTTTGTAATAATGGACATTAAGAGTGTACTTTATTGTTTCACATTGTTTTCAGGAAATTTTTTTTTTTAATAAGTTAGGAGAAAGAATTTCAAATAGGCTTCATTTATCTAAATTCCCTTTTTTCCTAGTGTTCCTTTTTTGCCCATACAATGGTTATAGGAATAAGACCAGAAGGGAAGAAGATAAAAAATGGAAACAACTCAGATTAAGTTGCAGTTGAGGGTGTCATCATAAACTCTTAATTAATTTCTTCCCTTTTGAGTTTCAGAATGAATTGAATCCTATTTAATTCTGCCTTAATGTTCCCAGGTATGCAGGTGCCTTGAGAGCTTCAGGGGAAATGGCTTCAGCACAGTATATTACTGCAGGTCAGTATCTTAAATATATGCCTTTCTGATAGGACAGTGTGTAGTATTCAAGAAATGTTACTTTTCACCCAGTTTGTTTAGTAGCTTTCAGTTTACAAAAGATATTTTGTAGAACATCATCTCATTTAAAACTGGAGTACTTATACTTAGTGTTAAGCAACTTAAGGACCTATTTTATTATTCAAATTATAAACCAATGATGTCTGTTTTTTCTGAAAAATAGTCTGGATTTTTTGGATTAAAATTAATTTTGGCTTTAGGTTCTATTAGTAAAATATATCTCTGGGCATATACAGAGAGAGGTTTTATTGTAGTTGATACAGTCATTATAAGAGAGCGTCTTAGTGGGTGTTAGTGTAAGGAAATAGTATAAAGTATGAGGAGAAACAGAAATTCTTAAAGGATAGAAATAACTTATTTCTTCATTACATGAGACCATATATTTTGTCCCCATTTGTTTTGGGCTGGTTTTAAAAATGAATACTCTTAAATCATTAGGTTAGGTTGGTGTAGGGTATTTTTATAGCAGTGCCTTTTTTGGGGTAGAGGGTAACAGCTTTATGGAGATAAAATTCACATCCCATACAGTTCACCCACTTAAGTGTGTAATTCAATGTCTTTTACTGTATGTGGAGCTGTGCAGCCATTACCACAATTTTAGAATGTTTTTGTGGCCTTGAAAAAGAAACTGTAACATTTAGCACTCAGTTTTCTCCTCCCCACTCCCAGCTTTATGCAACCATTAATCTACTGTCAGTCGCAGTATATTTACCTATTCTGAACTTTTGACATAAATGGAATTATATATAGTATGTGGTCTTTTTTGACTGGCTTCTTTCACTTAGAATGTTTTCAAGGTTCATTGACATTTTAGTATGCATTAGTACTTTTTTTCCTTTTAATTGCTGAATAAGATTCCATTGTAGGGATATATCACATTCCATTTATCCTTTCATCCCTAATAGACATTTGGGTGGTTTCCACTTTTTGACTATTACAAGTATTGCTGAAAATTTTTACAAACTTTTCTGTGGACATAATGTTTTTATTTCTCTTGGGTGCATATCTGGGAGTGGAATTGCTGGGTCATATGGTAACTATATTTAACTTTTTGAGCAACTGCCAGGCTGTTTTCCAAAGCAGTTGGCATCATTTTATATTTCTCCCATGAATGAGGGTTCCAATTTCTCTTAATAATACTTGGTATTGTCTGTCTTTGATTATAGCCAGCCTAGGGGTGTGAAGTGGTATCTCATTGTGGTCAGCTGTTCATTTGTAATACTATAAACAGTAGGTTTCTTTGTGTCATTTGGGGTTAGAGATTTTCCTTTGACCTTTTTTTCCCTGAAAGTAGATTTATTTGTTGAAATGAGGTTTTTAATGAGGAAAATATGATCACTTTTATCTAGTTTACTCGATTGCTTGTGTATCTGAGAGTAACTCGGAATGGCAGCAACTTCTCCAGTATCCTATGAGTCTTGTAGTGAAGGGATGAAAGATACTGTTCTTCATTTTTAAATTTTATTCTGTGCTGAATTTAAAATTAGCACAAAGAACAGTTCCAAGAATTCACCAATTACAAACTTTTTTTCACAGCTGGTTCATCATTCTCTGTAACAGTGTTCTTTTTTCTGAACCATTTGAGAGTAAGGTACAGACATCCTGTCTTATTCCTGAATACTTTAGTATGTATTTCCCAAGAATAAGGACATTTAGAACCACAAGACAATCACCATTTTTCAAAGTCTAGGAGTTTAACATGGATAAAGTACTCTAAAATACAAATGACTTAAATTTTGTCAGTTGACCCAATATTGCCCGTTATAAAGTTGTTTTTCTATTTTGTTTTGGGATCCAGTTTAGGATCACATATTGATTTGCATTTAGTTGTCATGTCCAACTAGTCTCTTAATGTACAGTGAGTGCATTTTTGACTTTTTTATTTCAAACTAATGAAGTACTTTGAGATGCTGTTTATGGTATACATTAAATCTTAAATCATTTTTTATTTTGGGTAATGTGTACCTTAAAGTGTTACTACAATTTGGGCTTTTCTATTTTAAGAAACATTACATTGGTAGTGACACAGGATTTTAGCTATCCCTTCTCCCAAAAGTTTTTTTAAAGATTTTATTTATTTGTCAGCACACATGCACACAAGCAGGGGGAGCAGCAGAGGGAGATGGAGAAGCAGACTCTCCATTCAGCAGGGACCCTGATACGGAACTTGATCCCAGGAAACTGGGATCATGACCAGAGCCATTGGCAGATGCTTAACTGACTGAGCCACCAAGGAGTACCCCCAGAATATTTTAAATACCATGTTTAGTTGTCTTATTTGGGAACATTTTATTAAACACTGGTTTTGTGCTGAGATACAGTATTTGTGGGTCTTCCGTTTGTATAATAATGGTAGATAACATTTCACATATTAGTTAATAAAACAAGTCAGGAAAGGCTAGACTAGAATTTTGCTGTACTTGAAGTAAAGGCAAGGTGTGATAGCTAGGAAGTCAGCAGAGGAAAAGTATTCTCAACTCCCAGAGCAGGGCTGTGACTGACCATGAGATTTATGAAGGTGAGAGAGGATGGTGGAGGAAAGATTTTGAAGAAGGCAAATTAATTTTGGTTTTTAGCTATCAATAGACTTATGAGGTATGTTTAACAGATTTTAAAATTTAAGAGTTGAGTAGATGGGAACCAAGTACAGGCTTAAAAGGAGGTAGGTTGAGAGTGGTGACCTGATGACCTGATAATGGCATAGTACCAGAACAGTAACATTAGCCTGTTTGATCTCTAGACAGAGGTTATGTGTTTGCTTTAGTGAATGAATATGCCCTGCTTTGTTTGGGAAGACAAAGCCTGGCAAAGAGAGAGATCGAGGGGTAGGACTCAGAAGTTGTTTATAGTTAGTCATTACATTATAAAGTCTGGTCAGCTCTTTAAGATTTAAAAACAAATTTTTTTAAAAAAAGATTTTATTTATTTATTTGACAGAGAGCGAGAAACAGCAAGAGAGGGAACACAAGCAGGGGGAGTAGGAGAGGGAGAAGCAGGCTTCCTGCTGAGCAGGGAGCCCAATGTGGTGCTGGATCCCAGGACCCTGGGATCATGACCTGAGCCAAAGGCAGACGTTTAGCGACTGAGCCACCCAGGTGCCCCCAAACAAATCTTTTTCTTATTGTGAATTTGACAATTACAAAAGTAGTAGATATACTTAAAAATATTACTCAGCAGTTTTTGTTTGTATTAGTCTAGAATTAATATACAGTAACATGTATTACATATGTCATCATTTTATTAAAGCCGTGTTTGCTTTGTTTTTAAGCCCTTAGAGATTTGTTTGATTCCATGGATAAAACTTCTTCTAGTATTCCACCTATTATTCTACTGCAGTTTTTGCACATGGCTTTTCCACAGTTTGCAGAGAAGGGTGAACAAGGCCAATATCTTCAACAGGTAAACAGGGCAAGGTTCTGTGGTTTTCATTTTGTAAACATAAAACTTAGGTGTTGTACACTTACTGTGTTTATTTGTATTTCCAAACATGCTCCAATTTTCAAGTCCTCTGTGGTTCACATCATCCTCATTTCTTGGCTGGAGTGGTCTGTTAACTATTACCTTGCTTCTGTTTTTGTCCTCCTGCAGTGCTTCTCCACACAGTCTCCAGAGTCTATAAAATGTAAATAGGGTTATCTTGGTCCCTTGTTTGTTACCTCCTAGTGATTTTCTGTCCTAGTCCTGAATAATTGAGGTCCTGTGTCCCTGTCTGAGCTCTCATGTGCCACTCTCTCCCTTGCTTACTTCTTTTGACTCTCAAACACACTGGCTTCCTACTTACTTTTTAAACCCTCCAGTACCATCTTTATGCAGGGTCTTTGCTCTTACTTCTTTGGCTCTCAGATAGTGCATGGCTTGCTTCCTCACCTCACTCAGGTCTCATGGCTCAAATGTCAAGGCATCACAGACATTTCCTTGACTCGCCTATTGAAATGGCACACTTCTTTCCCTTCATCACTTTCTGTTCCCATATTGCTTTTTTTATTGTTATTTTTATTATTTTTTTCATACTTCTTTTTTAATTCATAACTCTTCTCTTTAGGTGAATTTGTTATATTTGTTTATGTCCCCATTGAGAACGTTTTCTGTTTTGGTTATTGCTGTTTATTCCTGTTTCTAAAATAGTAGTTAGCATAAGGAAGAGCTCAGTAAACATCTCTTGGATAAATGAATATTTTGGAATTCCTCATTGTTCTGAAGATCATATAATAATCTAGTTTGACTTAATATTTTTAAATAAAAAACAGCTTTCTTCCCCTTCCCTAAGGAACCAGTAATTCTTTTGGAAGAATTTTGTAGATAAAACATTATCAACAGCCAGGTTTATTTACTTTGTCATTTTTTAAATTACAGGATGCTAATGAATGTTGGATACAAATGATGCGAGTATTGCAACAGAAATTGGAAGCCATAGAGGATGATTCTGTTAAAGAGGTAATTGACACGTTTGTGATTATAGATTTTCATTATACCTTGATAATTATACTCCCCCCATGCCAAAAGCTTGAAATAAATTTATCCTAATAGACATGTATTTGAATACTTTGGATGCTCAGCCTGTAGTTAGAATTTGAAAGCTTGCATTTCACACTTGAGTGCATTGTATTGTTTATTAAACTTAATTGATGTTACTGAGCATCTGTAGTCTTTTGGTAGTGTTTTTTGAACAGTAGAAGGATTTTCCAGAAAGGGATTACATTTTTAAAAGCCTAAATATGTATTTACTAAACTGGATTGTGTGGGGAAAATATACATTAGTACCTATATAAAGAAAAATTAGAATTTTTATTTCATTTTAATTTTTGCAGACAGATTCTTCATCTGCATCAGCAGTGACACCTTCTAAAAAGAAAAGCTTAATTGATCAGTTCTTCGGAGTTGAATTTGAAACTACGTATCCTTATGAGCCAAGATTTGTAGAGATGTACTCATAACTTACTCGAAGTGAATTGGTACCAGTAGCCTTGTTGACTCATTGGAGTGGTGGGTGAGGTATATAGATAAATTTTTCAGAGGCTTTTATGCCTAAAAGATATAATGAAACTTAGGAATTTGGAAAAATACCCCATCAGAGTAATCCTAAAGTTAGATAAATGTATACTTTAAGGATATTATTTTTTCCTAAGAATATCTTTAGCAGAGTCAGCCTCATTAATTCACTTCATAGGAAATTAATTTTTTATTGTATGAAACAGAGTATATCAGCCAGATTTTATATATAAGATTGAACTAATTCATAAAACATGAATTCAGGGAAGGACTATTTTCTAGGTCATGGGTGGAAACTTAGATTTCTTTTTATATATTTTTGTGTTAAAACCATTTTAAGATTGTATAAGTACCAGGGCACCTGGGTGGCTCAGTGGGCTAAAGCCTCTGCCTTTGGCTCAGGTCATGGTCCAGGGTCCTGGGATGAAGCCCCGCATTGGGCTCCCTGCTCGGTGGGGAGCCTGCTTCCTCCTCTCTCTCTCTGCCTGCCTCTCTGCCTACTTGTGATCTCTGTCTGTCAAATAAATAAATAAAATCTTTAAAAAAAAAAAAAAGACTGTATAAGTACCAACTTACATTTGTTTAGTTTATCCTTTCATTACTTTTATTATTCATTACTCATACTGTTAATTGCATGAAGCACTTTAAAATATGTTGAAACAAATGTGGGAAAACAAAATGTTTAAAATACCAGTGGATAATGCTATTTTTAAAATTTCAGTGTAATTAATATACAGTGTTACATTGGTTTCAGATGTATGATATAGTGATGCAACAGTTCTATACATTACTCAGTGCTCATTACAATAAGTGTACTCTTAATCCCTATCACCTGTTTCATCCAGACCCTCACCCACCTCCTTTATTCTTGTTGAGAGTGAAATAATAGTATTTCTTACTCTGACTGACTTACTTCACTTTTATTATATACCTTTGATCCATCTATGTTGTTGTAAATAGCAAGATTTCATTTTTTTATGGCTGAATAATATTCCATTGTAGATACCTCCCACATCGTCTTTATCCATTCATCTATTGATGGATAGTTGGGTTGCTTCCATAATTTGGCTATGGTAAATAATACTGCAATAAACATAAGGGTACATATGTCTTTTCAAGTAGTGTTTTTGTATTCTTTGTGCAAACCTAGTAGTGGAATTACTGGATTAAATGGTAGTTCTATTTTTAATTTTTTGAGGGGGTTCTTTTTTTTTTTTTTTTTTAAAGATTTTACTTATTTATTTGACAGACAAAATCACAAGTAGGCAGAGAGAGAGGAGGAAGCAGGCTCCCTGCTGAGCAGTGACTCTGATGCGGGGCTCCATCCCAGGACCCTGGGATCATGACCTGAGTCAAAGACAGAGGCCTTAACCCACTGAGCCACCCAGGCACCCCAAGGCAGTTCTATTTTTAATTTTTTGAGGAAACTCCATATTGTTTTCCATAGTGGCTGCACCAGTTTGCATTCCCACCCACAGATGTGTATGAGAGTTCCTTTTCCTCGCCAGCACTTGATTTTCTGCCCCCCCTCAGAGATGGAGAGAGAGAGAGGTGGGGTGGGGGAGGGAGAATCTTAAGTAGGCTCCATGTCCAGTGCAGAGCCTGATGTGGGGGTCAATCTCACAACTCCAAGATACGACCTAAGATGAAATCAAGAGTCGGATGTTTACAACTAGCCACATAGGGACCCCAGCACTTGTTTTTCATGTTTTTGATTTTAGCTATTCTGATAAAGTGTGAGGTGACATTATGGTTTTGATTTTCATTTCCCTGATGATGAGTGATATTGAGCATCTTTTCATGTGTTGGCCTTCTCTGTGTCTTTGGAGAAATGTCTATTCTCTTTATATCTTCTGCCCATTTTTAAATTGAATTATTATTATTTTCGTGTTGTATAAGTTCTTTATATATTTTGGATACTCACCCTGTATCAGATATCATTTGCAAATATTGATGCTATTAATTTTAATAGCAAGAGGATAATTTATTATGTTCAAGATATAATTTATTATATTATAGCAGATTGATTACCTGTTGGGATATTCCTTATCCTATTTCTCAAAGCATGAAATGTACAGAATCTGAAGAAGAAGAGGTCACTAAAGGAAAGGAAAATCAGCTTCAGCTTAGCTGTTTTATCAATCAAGAAGTCAAGTATCTTTTTACAGGACTTAAATTGGTAAGATCAGTTACAGTTGATCCTCATTATAAATGGATTCTGTATTTGCAGATGCACTTACTTGCTAAAATGTATTTGTAACTCTCAACATCAGTACTTGGGTGCTTTCAGGGTCATTTGTAGACCTGCTCTGATTGGCAAAAATTTTGAGTTGCCAGACAGTCTCACCTGAGCTCCAGAAAGGTGATGCTTTGCTTTCTTGTTTCAGTTCATACTGTTAACAAATGTCCTTTTATAGTAATTTTAGTACCTACATTTTTTTTTTTTTCAATTTTGTGCTTTTTATTGGTGATGTGCTATTTAAAATAGGTCTTCAGCCATATCTCTGAAGTGCTGTCTAGTGTTCTAAGCCCAAGAAGGCTCTGTGTGAATGTTTATTTAGATAAGCCTTAAGGAGAAAATGTTGGATAAGCTTCATTTAGGGATGAGTTATAGTATAGTTGGCTGTGAAGACCATGAATTGTCATTAAACAGAAACACACATAACACAAGGTTGTGTATTGTTAGGTCAAACAAAAGCATCGCAGGAGGCCTCTGAGGGTATTTAATGAGGGTTTATTAGTAATGACAAGGTATAAACTGGGATCGTACTGTGTAAATCAGGCCATGTAGGCCCTCTGCCTTTTACCAGTTTTGCAGCTGAGGCCCTGGAATGTAAGTGACTTCATTGCTTTGTGGCAGAGCTGGGTCTAGAACTTGATTCTCCAGTTAGCACTCTTTCCCCATTTTCATACTATAGAATGCACTCTAATGAGCAGATTGATAAAATATAAAAGTTTGGCTTGTGAATTTAGTACTTTGATATGGTTTGGGAAATATGTACATGTTTTGAAGGATAGGCAATGAATTGGGGAGGGATTGCATTGATAAACAAAATAATTTGTCATTAGGGAGTTCCCATCTACAGTTCAGGGTAAGATCAGTTAGGGGAGTGGTTGGTAAATGCAGACATAAGAGGCAAATAGAAAGTAATATTCTCTGCCCTGTGATACTGAGGGGGACTGTAGTGAGGCATACTTTTAAGAGAAGTTCATTTTAAAAGCTTAATAATAGCTAATCACTAAGAGCACTGTAGCAGGTTATAATGTGCAAGTTTCAGGACATCAAAACAAGAAGTATAAGTGTAATTGGAGGGTATAGAATGGAATGTTTTGGCAGGGACTCTCCAGGATGATACTTTTCTTCATAATTTTATAAAATCCCAGAAAAAAACTAGATCTACTTGGAGCTTTTAGATGATAGTGGATTGGTAGTGATTGGATGGTGGATTGGATTGATAATATGTGTAGCTTACCTGATGAATAACATCACACCAGATACATGTTCTTGAGAAGCATGTATTTATGAGATGTTGTGTTATCTTTCCCACTGTTTAGATGCATTATCATCATTGATTCCTATTATTCTAGAGTGATTTGACTCCATATTTCTTTACCTTTTTGTTGCCAAACAGACTTGATTAAATGTTAAAAAGGTACACAGTGATTCCTTTTGTAATGAGATTAGTAATTTTCTTAAAAATTAATTTTTTATACAAGTAACGTGCTTACAGTGAACATTAACAGTAAATTTTTAACTCTAATTTCTTGTGTATTAATGTTCTTACAAAGCAGAGCACATTAGTAGTGCTTTTTTTATAAAATTAGAAATAGTAGCTTATGTCTGTTGAATATAGAATATATGCCAAATGGTTGTCCATTTTTTTTTTTTACATGTACCTAACTTACGTAGTTCTAACAACAGCACTATGATATAGGTATTATCATCATTTCCATATGATGCCCGGAGGGGATAACTGTCTCGCTGAGTGTCACACAGGCTGTAAAAAATAGAAAGGCAGACACAATGGTTAAGATATGTATAGTGGCTAAAGTCTACTCCACATTTGTTAGATTAACAGGTTTTCTGTGTGACTTTTCTCATTTGAGAATAATTGCTTCTAGAAGGCTTTTATACATAAAGAATAAAGAACAGGGGTTTCCTCCCTTCTCATAATTGTCCTTCTGCATGAGTATTCTGATAATCTGTATATAGGCAGAAGCCATAAAGGCTTTTTAATGTTATATAAAATACATTGTAAACTCAGAATCTGAGCAACATTTGTGTTACAGTTTAAAACTTCAAACATTATTTACTTTCTGAGGAGTTCACACCAGTATAAATTGATACCTTTTAAGAACTGACTCATATCTAAAAACTTTCCTACATAGTCTTCATTGAAATTATTTTTCAGTGGTATGAATCCATCGATGTATGTTGTCTGTTAAGGAATACTAATTTTTAAAAGAACTAAAAGTGTGCTTCTGGGGGTACCTTGCTGGTATGTGACTCTTGATCCTTGAGGTCATCAGTTCAAGCCCCACTTTGGGTGTAGAGCTTACTTTAGGAAAAAAAGTATGATTCTATATTGCAGAAAAGTATTCTTTTTTTTTTTTTTTTTTTTTAGAAAAATATTCTTTAAAACTGAAAATGTTTGGTCTCCTGTTATGTTCTTTTTTTAGCGACTTCAGGAGGAAATCACTAAACAGTCTCCAACATTGCAAAGAAATGCTTTATATATCAAATCTGTAAGTTGTGCATTCCTTTTGAAATTAAATCCATTTTGATGAAAAATTTCCAATAAATTTTACCCAGTCTTTGTTTTTGCCAAACCAAGGCATTAAAAACTTGTGTTGTATTTGCATGTGATAGGATTTCTTGCATTTTTTTCCCTCAGTCTAAGATCAGCCGACTACCTGCTTACTTGACTATTCAGATGGTTCGATTTTTTTATAAAGAGAAGGAATCTGTGAATGCTAAAGTTCTTAAGGTTAGTAATGAACTTCAGTATAATAAAACATTGTAATTCTTTGACAGCAATCCCTAATTCACAATAGATTTCTTTCTTCCTTTAGGGAGAAACTTTATTTGAAATATTCTAAGTATGGAAGTTATTAACATTAGACAAGTGGTTCTTTTTTTTCTTTTCTTTCTTTCTTTTTTTTTTTTTTTTTTAAGATTTTACTTATTTGTTAGAGAGTGAGCGCACACAAGCAGGGAGAGCAGGAGGCAGAGAGAGAAGCAGACTCCCCACTGAGCAGTGAGCCCGATGCTGGACTTGATCTCAGGACCCTGGGGTCATGACCTGAGCTGAAGACAGATGAGTAACTGACTAACCCACCCAGGCACCCCATCCTTTTTATTTTTAAACATATACATGCCTGACTTTCACCACCAGCCCACCCCTAGAGTTTGACTAGGTAGGGCCAGAGGTCCTAAAAATTGTTCAAAAGATTCCCAATTAGTTCTCATGGATGCCTTCCACTCCCCAGAAATACTGCTCTTGACCAGATCCTCAACTCCACAGATACTGACCCAGCAGGTTTGGAGGATGGGAGTGTGGGGAAGAAGGCATGCTGCATTCTCTAGTGCAATAATTGTAGTTTCTTGAGTAAGAGCCAACCTTATGATGTAACTGTTTTGTAAAACTGTAGCTCTGCTACCTATCCATACTCCATGATCCCTGGGAGAGGTAAATGTAATCCTAACCTCCTGAGCTAAAAGTCATAATACAATTTCAGATATACTTACTATTATACGATAAGGTTAAATGTATTTAGAATATTTAATACTGTTAACTTTATGTATTTTTTTTTTAAGATTTTATTTATTTATTTGACAGAGATCACAAGTAGGCAGAGAGGCAGGCAGAGACAGAGAGGCGGGGAAGCAGGCTCTCCGCTGAGCAGAGAGCCTGATGTGGGGCTCGACCCCAGAACCCTAGGATCATGACCTGAGCTGAAAGCAGAGGCTTTAACTCACTGGGCCACCCAGGCACCCCAACTTTATGTATTAATATTAGTTATTGAACCGTATCACTTATTTCTGTGTAAAGGTGTATTTCACATTACAAAAAGTCATTAAGTGACCCCCATTTGTAAATTGATTTCATTTTTAGTTGCAGGTATCCATTATTTTCACAGAGGCTGATGTGCTGTATTTCTGAAATGCTTCTTTTGTCATGTATGTTTTGGTAACTCTTCTGTGCTCAGAGTCATGGGTTTAATTGGAAAAAAAGCTAAACAAATTTTTTTAATCTTAAAAAGTTAGGTCCAGGGGGTGCCTGGTTAGCTCAGTCAGAAGAGCATGCGACTCTTGATCTCAGGATTGTAAATTCAAGCCCCACATTAGGCATGGAGCTTATTTTTAAAAAAAATTGGCACCTGATTTTGAAAATAGGCACTATGATGTTTTCAGCTGCATAGATTTCCAAGTGGTTTTTAAATAAATTTTATTTTCAACTTCATTTGAATTATGAAAGTACTACTGTAAAAGCATGAAGATATTTTAAATAACTACTTTTATAAGGGTGTTGACACATATTTTTTTTTTGTATAGGATGTAAAATTTCCTCTTATGTTGGATGTGTATGAACTGTGTACCCCAGAACTTCAGGAGAAAATGGTCTCTTTTCGATCAAAATTCAAGGATCTAGAAGATAAAAAAGTGAATCAGCAGCCAAAGACAGTAGGTTCTTTTTGCTCATTTTCTCATCTTAATAGTTCAGAGTTTAATTAATATTCAGCAGTTACCTTGTTAATGTCCGTAATTTGTTAATCTCTTAGTAAAAATGGATGAACCTGTAGTTTACTTAGCACATACACAAAGTTTTAGGTGTATTTTAGTGTAAGAAAAAGGACTCTAGTTATGGTAAATAGGCCCCTTATGGTAGAGTAAGCTTAATATTTTCTTTTCTCCTGTAATCTCTAACCTGTATTCCTTTTATATGTATCTCCTCAGAGCATTTCACATAAAATCTTGCCCAGTATTTTCAGTATATTTTACTGTTTTCCTTGTAAGTCATGGAGTTACCTCTATTTTTAGATGGAATTAGTGGTGTAGAATATTGGCTCATCTATGCCTATAGTTAAATAAGTGTATCTTTCAATTTTTTTGTAAATTCAGGTTAGTTAACATGGAGTGCAGTATTGGTTTCAGGAGTAGAATTCAGTGACTCATTACTTGTATATAACACCCAGTGGTCATCATAACATGCGCTCTTCTTAATGCCCATCATCATCTAGTCCATCTCCCACCTGCCTCCCTTCATCAACCCTCACTTTGTTCTGTATGGTTAAGAGTCTTTTATGGTTTGTTTCTCTTTTTTTTTCCTCCCTCCCCCTCTGTTTATCCGTTTTGTTTCTTAAATTCCACATGAGTGAGATCATAATGGTGTTTGTCTTTTTCTGATTGACTCATTTCACTTAGTGTAATACACTCTAGCTCCATTCACGTTATTGCAAATGGCAGGATGTCCTTCTTTTTGATGGTTGAGTAATATTCCTGTGTGTGTGTGTGTGTGTGTGTGTGTGTGTGTGTGTGTACACATATCTTTATCCAGTGGACATTTGGACTCTTTCCATAGTTTGACTGTTGTGGATAATGCTGCTATCAACATCAGGATGTATGTACCCCTTCAAATCGAATCTGTCTTTTTGTATTCTTTGGGTAAATACCTAATTGTGCAATTACTGGATTATAGGGTATTTCTATTTTTAACTTTTTAAGGAACTTCCATGCTGTTTTCCAGAGTGGCTTCCCACCAGCAGTGCAAGAGGGGTTCCCCTTTTCTCTGCATCCTCACCAACAACTGTTCTTTTATGTTGTTAATTTTAGCCATTCTGACAGGTGTGATATATTGTATCTTTTAATAAGTGCTGCTTGTATGCCTGCCTGTAACTGCTAAAATCACAACCTTAGGAAACTTTAATAAGTTGTATTACTTTAGGGTACAGCTGAACTATGTTGGATTTTCCCCCCTCCACGGTGAAAAAGATCTTTCTGGAAACTAGAAATATTTCCTGTGTGATATTATATATATTTATATTCTTTTGCAATTGCTGTGTGTGTGTGTGTGTGTTAAATGCTTTTTTTAAAAACATTAAACTTGATTTTGAGATAATTGTGGAATCACATGCATTTATAAGAAATAATATGAAGAGGGGTGCCTGGGTGGCTCAGTTAAGTGACCACCCTCAACTCAGGTCATGATCCCAGGGTACTGCCATTGAGCCCTGCATTGGGCTCCCTGCTCAGCTCCCTGCTTCTTCTTCCTCTGCCTGCCACTCCCCCTTCTTGTGTGCATGTTCTCTCTCTGTCAAATAAATAAATATTTAAAAAGAAAAAGTTGAGATCCAGATACCTTTTACCAAGTTTACCCTGTGGTAATATCTTGCAACACAATAATACAGTATCATGATTTGGATATTAACTTTGATGCAGTCTAGATACAGTACATTCCCATCCCTACAAAGATTCCACATACTGCCCCTTTGTAGCCAAACCCACTTTCCTTTGGCCCCTGCCGCCTCCTCAATTCCTAGCAACTGCTCATCTGTTCTCCATTTCTGTAGTTTCGTCATTTTAAGATATGAAATGGGATATCTGTATATCTATATCTATATACCCATTATATATATAATATTTATATCCATATATATTATATATATATAACACTATATAAATAAAATCATATAGTATGTAACCTTTTGGGATTTTTTTCTCCGCATACATAATTCTCAGGAAATTAGCCCAGGTCATTTTGTATAGCAGCAGCTCCTTCTTTGTTGCCGGAGAGTATTCCATGGTATGCATATGCCATATCTTGCTTAATCGTTCAGCTGTTGAAGGAGAGCTGGATTCTTTCTAGTTTCATTTATTTTGCATAAAGCTACTGTAAGTATTCATGTACAATTTTTTAAAAATATTATTTATTTATTTGAGAGCATGAGCAGGGGTAGGGACAGAGAGGGAGAAGCAAACTCTGGGTTGAGCAGGGAGCCCGATGCGGGGCTCAATCCCAGGACCCTGGGATCATGACCTGAGCCGAAGGCAGATACTTAATCGATATAGCCACTCAGGCGCCCCTCATGTACCAGGTTTAGTGTAAACATAACCTTTCATTTCTCTGGGAATAGATACCCAGTAGTAAAATTGCTAGATAGCATTAATTTTTTTTTTTTTTAAGATTTTACTTGTTTGACAGACAGAGATCACAAGTAGGCAGAGAGAGAGGGGGAAGCAGGCGCTCCGCCAAGCAGAGAGCCCCATGTGGGGCTCGATCCCAGAACCTCAGGATCATGACCCAAGCCGAAGGCGGAGGCTTTAACCCACTGAGCCACCCAGGCGCCCCCTACATTTAATTTTTAAAGAAAGTGTCAAAGATTTTCCATAGGGACTATACCATTTTAGATGCTCATTAGCAGTATATGACTGATCCACTTTGTGCATTCTTGCTAGAATTTGGTGGTGTCAGTATTCTTTATTTTAGCCATTTGGTTAGGTTTGCAGTGATATATCATTGTGGTTTTTTTTTAATTTGCTTTTTCCTAATGGCTAATGATGTTCAATGTGTCTTCATGTGTTATTTGCCATCTGTGTATCCTCTTTGGTGAAATATTTCTTCATATTCTATTTTTTTCTATTTTTCACTCTTGAATTTTGAGAGTTCTTTATATTATAAATACTAATCCTTTGTCAGATACATGGCTTTTATATATCTTCTCCTTGCCTTTGTCTTTGTCTTTTCATCTTCTTAAGGGTCTTTTGCAGAGGAAAAGTTTTTCATTTTTAGGTATTCCAGTGTATTGTTTTCTTTGGTGGTTCTTGCTTTTGGTGTCATATCTAAGAAACCATTGCCTAGTAAAAGGCAAAGATGTATATTTGTTTTTCTTTTAAGAGTTTTATAGTTTTAGTTCTTCCCATTTAGGTTTTTGATCCATTCCAGGTTAATTTTTATATGTGGGGTGAGGTGCATATCTACATTCATTCCATTGTGTGTGCGTAGCCTGTTCTTTCCCCACTGAATGGTCTTGGGGCCCTTGTATAAAGAATCAGTTGACTATAGATACATATATTGCTGGAATCTCAGTTGTATTCCACGGGTCTTTGTGTCTTTCCTTATGCCAGTACCACAGTCTTGATTACTGTAATTTTGTAGTAAGGTTGCAGCAAAGTCTGAGACTTTCAGCTTTTCTTCTTTTCAAGATTGTTTTGGCTTTATGAATCTCTTGTATTTCTGTCATTTTAGGATCAGCGTGTCTGTTACTTCAAAAAAAAACAACAGTTGGAATTTTGATGGGATTGCATTGAATCTGTAGATCAATTTGGGAAGGATTCCTATTTTAACAGCATTAAGTCTCAGCAGTCCATGAATTTGATGTCTTTGTATTTATTTGCATGTTCATTAATTTTTTCAACATGTCTTATAGTTTATAGTCTATAAATGTTGTACTTTGGCTAACTTTATTCTTAAGTATTTTATTCTTTTTTGATGTTTGAGTAAGTGGCATTGCTTTCTTAATTTCATTTTGGGATTATTTGTAATTAATTATTGTATATTGATCTCGTATCCTCTCCTTTGCTGAATTGGTTCATTGTTTCTTTTTTACCTCTTTTATTTTTTGAAAGAGATTGTGTAGAATTAGTGTTAATTCTTTTTTTAAAAGATTTGGTAGAACATTCGTGAAAAAGTCAGCCTGGAGATTTTTTTCCCCAGACTTTTTTTTTTTAAGATTTTATTTATTTATTTATTTGACAGAGATCACAAGTAGGTAGAGAGGCAGGCGGTGGGGCGGGGGGCGGTCACTGAGCAGAGATCCCAATGTGGGGCTCGATCCCAGGACCCTGGGATCATGACCTGAGCCGAAGGCAGAGGCTTTAACCCACTGAGCCAGGTGCCCCTCCCAGACATTTTTAAATTAAATATTTACCTTCCTTTGTAGTTATGGGCTATTCACATAATGTGTTTTGTATTAGATTTGTTTTGGTACTTTGTTTTCTTGGAATTGATCCATTTTATCTAGCTTGTCAATTTTGTGTTGTAGTTGTTCCTTGTAGTTATTTATTTATTTATTATTTATTAAAAGATTTTATTTATTCATTAGACAGACAGAGATCACAAGTAGGCAGAGAAGCAGGCAGAGAGAGGAGGAAGCAGGCTCCTTGCTGAGCAGAGAGCCCAATGTGAGGCTCGATCCCAGGACCCTGGGATCACGACCTGAGCCGAAGGCAGAGGCTTTAACCCACTGAGCCACCCAGGCGCCCTATTTATTTATTTATTTATTTATTTATTTATTTTAAAGATTTTATTTATTTATTTGAGAGAGAGACAGTGAGAGAGAGCATGAGCGAGGAGAAGGTCAGAGGGAGAAGCAGACTCCCTGTGGAGCTGGGAGCCCGATGCGGGACTCCATGATCATGACCTGAGCCGAAGGCAGTCGTCCAACCAACTGAGCCACCCAGGCGTCCCCCTATTTATTTATTTTTGATATCTACAGGGGCTGTAATGATATCTGTCCTCTGTTTCATTCCTGATACTAGTAATTTGTCTTTTTTCTTTTCCTTGGTCAGTTTTGTTAGAGGATTGTCAGTTTTATGATCTTTTCAAAGAACTGGCTAAATGGATTTGTCTCTGTATTTCTGTAGTATTAATGATTTCTACTCTTCTTCTGCTTGTTGGGGTTTTATTTTGTTTTCCTTTTTCTAGGTTCTTAAATTGTGAGAGCTTAGGTTTTTTACTTCAAACTTTCCCCTAATGTATTCATTTAGTGCTATAAGGTTTGTCTCAGTAGTGCTTTCACTGTGTCCTACAAATTGTTAACATTTATTTGCATTTTCATTCTGTTCCTTGGTTTTTTTTTTTTTTTTTTTTTTTTTTTTTGGGGTTTTACTGATTTATTACAGAGAGCACAAGAATGAGAGAGAGCATGAGCAGGGCCTGGGGTGGGGCTGACGTAGAGGAAGAAGCAGACTTCCCGGATCAGGGCGCCCTGTGTAGGGCATGGATCAGACCTGAGCTGCTTACCCAGCTGAGCCACCCAGGCACCTCTCTGCTCCTTGTATTTTTAAAAAATCTCCCTTGAGACTTCTCTTTGACCTTGTATTATTCATAAGTGTCTGGTTTAGTTTCCAAATATTTGGAAATTTATCTATTATCTTGCTGTTACTGCTTCTAGTTTGATTTCATTGTGAGAGAAAGTACTTGTGTGATTTAAATTCCTTTAAATTTGTTCAAGTTTGCTTAATGGCTTAGGATGTGATCTATCTTGGTATATGTTCCATGGGTACTTGGGGGGGGGAATTGTATTCTACTGTTATTGAATGGAATGAATTTTCTATAGATGTTGATTAGATCCAGTTGGTTGATGGTGGTCTTGCATGTTCTAAAACGATGCTGTTTTTCTGTCTAGTTGTTCTGTTAGTTTTTATGAGATGAGTGAGGAAGCTTAAATTGTGACTTTTATGTGTTTCTCCATTCAGTTCTGTCAGCTTTTGCTTTGCATGTTTTGTAGTTCTGTTATTTGGTGCATACATCTTTAAGAGTGCTAAGTATTCTTGGTGGAGTGACCTTTTTATATTATGCAATGCCCCTCTCTGTCCTTGGTAATTTTCTTTATTCTGAAGTTTACTTTTCTGATATTACTATTGTCAATGCTGCTTTGTTTCTGTTAATGTTTGCATGATGTCTTTCTGTATTCTTTTACTTTAAATTTGCCTATATTATTATATTTGAAGAGTTTCTTACCGCATAGAGTTGGTCATGTTTTTTAATATACTGTTATATCTTTTATTGGTATATTTAGACCATTTACATTTAATTAATATAACTTGATTTGTTAAATCTGTTATATTTTGCTTTCTCTTCTGTTTTTCACTTCTCCCTATTGCCTTGTAGGTTTACTTGACCATGTAATAGAAATCTAATTTGAGGGGCGCCTGGGTGGCTCAGTGGGTTAAAGCCTCTGCCTTCGGCTCCGGTCATGATCCCACGGTCCTGGGTTCGAGCCCTGCATCGGGCTCTCTGCTCAGCGGGGACCCTGCTTCCTCCTCTCTCTCTCTGTCTGCCTCTCTGCCTACTTGTGATCTCTGTCTGTCAAATAAATAAATAAAATCTTAAAAAAAAAAAAAAGAAATCTAATTTGACTTACCTTCAATTTTAAAAAAAAATACTTTTCTTTGTATACCTTTTTCTGTGGTTGCCTTAGATGTGAAATTTTAAGACAAAAAGGAATGGTTGTCTTCATTGACTTAATTGCCATTTTTTTGTTGTAGGAGCCTTTAACTTGTCACTCCAGCTATCTTTAACCTACTTGCATTGTATTCATCATCATTATAGTTTTTAATAACTTTGTGCCCATATGCCTAGATAAGTTTAATATTTTTATATTACACTGAACTGGGTCGAGGCAGGGAATTCCCACCAAAAATCTTTGTCTAAAATAGTAAATTCTGTCTCTTTCAATACTCAGTTCATTTGAGCAGTTGGCCATGTCTTAGTAGGTTTAACGTTTTTTTGCAGTAATTTGACTTGTTTCATTGTGGTACCTTTTTTTTTTTTTTAAATCCTGTGTGGTTTGTGATAGTATTTTGGTAAAAATATAGAGTTGGGTTTTCCTTTCCTACCCTAGAGAGCTGTTTATCTGTACTGCTATATTCACTGGTATGCTATAGGTTTAGCAGCTCATAGTTTGTCCTAGAATCAGAGGGTCTGTTACTGTGCATACAAGACTGTATATTGTTTAAGTGTAGCTCCTTTGGGTTTATAGTTTTAACTATAGTTATATCGTTTTAGTAATTTTGTAAGGTAGTGTTTTGCATTGTCGCCAGTAAATATTTGTGGAAATGAATACTTATTGAGAATACAAATTTTATTTCCAGTGTCATGATTTAAAATTAAATTTTTTCCCCTCAGAGTGACAAAAAGAGTAGTCCCCAGAAGGAAGTTAAATATGAGCCTTTTTCTTTTGCTGATGGTAAGTGGAAAAAAATCATTTCAATTGAGTTACTCTATGTGTATTTGTGTGTTTAAGGTAAAATTACTGTCTTGACAAACTTACCTATTTTTTTTTGATATCATGCTTTTTTTAAAAAGATTTCTTAAAATATGTTACCTTAAATTAGACATGCAGTAAAAATCAGTCTTTATAGTTCTGTGAATACCATACTTCTTAAAATATCTTCCATAAATCCTTAACTTTGAACTGTAGTATCTTACTGAATTCTAATAATAGGCTAACCTTCAGACTTCTTGCTTGCTACCTAGCTGGAGAAAGCACATCTCTTCATTGTCTAATATTGTGGGATTTACATCTTTCTTTAGACATTGGCTCCAATAATTGTGGATACTATGACTTACAAGCAGTGTTAACACATCAGGGAAGGTCTAGCTCTTCTGGCCATTATGTATCATGGGTGAAAAGGAAACAAGGTAAGGATTATGCTTTTTGTTTCTGGTTTGTTTTGTTTTGTTTTGTTTCCCCAATTGTTAATTATTTTAGCAGCTTAGTACAAATTTTATAGCACAGAAGTTTTCAAACTTTTTAGTGTCAGAACCTCTTTACATTCTTAATTGTTGAGGTCCACAAAGAGCTTTTGTTTGAGGATTCTCTTTAATATTTACTATAATAGAAATTAAAATTCAGAAATTAACTCATTGGAAACTGGCCGTAATAAACCCATTACATACCACATAAGTAACAAAGATAACAGTATTTTCCAAAAACAAAAAAACAGCAAGAAATAGTATTGATTTGTTTTTGTAGGCCTGCTTTGTCTGGCTTATTAGGAGACAGCTGGATCCTCCTGTTTCTGCATTTAGTCTCTTGCTTTATCACACATCCTGTTTCTTCTGGAAAATTCCAAAGCACACTTGAAAGAATGAGGGGATAAAGGCAAATAATGCTTTAGTGGTGATAAAAAAAAATTGTGACCTTCATGGTACCCCTGAAATGGTTTTGAAAACCTGAGTGGTATCTGGATCACACTTTGAAAACTATTAGTATGGCAAATGGAATACTGCTGTGCATAATAAAATTACTCAGTACCTTTTTTGGAATGGAACTGAGAAAACCATGTAATAAAATATTAATTTCATTTTCTTCTCTTGCTCTTTAGATGAATGGATTAAGTTTGATGATGATAAGGTCAGCATCGTGACACCAGAGGATATCTTACGGCTTTCTGGTGGTGGAGACTGGCACATAGCATATGTTTTACTCTATGGGCCTCGCAGAGTTGAAATAATGGAAGAGGAAAGTGAACAGTAATCTTCATTTTAGCTATTTATGTTTAGGTGTGAAATAAATGTTATTTGTTGATCATTTCTATAATCCAGAGCTGTAGAGGAAGATATTTAGGTGGTGTTATGTGTTTCCCCTCTCATGTGGAACAAAAGAGGGTGAAGCAGACCACTCTGGATCAACCTAAAAAAATTACAGAAAAAAGAAAATTGCCTTTGGGACTGTGTTGCCCTGTACAAAGGTTGCAGGAAGACATTTTAAAAAAGCTTATTTCTTGCATTAATCTTTAAAAATTCTGATTTGAAATGCCTTTCAGCCATTGCCTTCTGTGATAAATTTTTCCCCCTGCCTTTTCAGCCCAGGATTCAGCAATCAGATGTTTATTGCACACCTATTACTCTTTTTGTTGTTGTTGTTCTTGCATGGTTCAAACCACCAGTGATTCATAGCTGCCCATCCTTTGCCTTATCTAACAAAAATTTTGCCAGGAAGGTGGAAAGGAAGTAAGTGTTGCTCTCATTGTGTTACTCAGTGCTGCTGCCCACATCCCATGGAAACACGGGTACAATCAAGTATTTGTCCAGCCTGACTGTTGCTGGCTTTTCATGACTTTAAAATAAATTGTGACCAGTAATAGTACATTTGATTATACATTCATTATTGTGTCTCTCTGATGTACTATGGTTTGTATATTTAACTTTGCAATGGTTTTGTAGTAATCAACCTTAAAAAACGTTGACAAGCTCTGGTTGCTTATTTTTAGAAAATGAGGATATTTAATAAAAAAAAAAAAAAGAGGGACTAACAGCTTCTGACCTCAAGTCTTTTGTCTGAGTGTTGGAGCTATGCTTGTTTAGGTATATTTAATAGCAAGCAGTTGCTGCACGTGGTTAGTTTTACTCTGCTGTTAGGCATCCATTTAAAAATGTTCTCTTCTGCCTTCTCACATTATGTTCTGTTTAAAAGAAATATAAAGTTGTAAAATTAATGGAGTTCTTTGGATGCTGAATGCAACGATGTTTATTGGTCTCTTTTCTTTGGCTCAGTTGATGTCTTTACTCTCGTCTAGTCCCAAAATCTTAATGTCTTATCTCAGAATTGAATAACAGCAATGATTTTTAAAGTGATGGTGAAAGTGCCAAGAGTAAGTGATATTTCAGTGTGGTAGGTTTCTCACATTTTAATACATTCTAATTAATTAGTTCCTCACCTTTGTTTCAAGGGCCTTGATTGCTAGACAGAGGATAGGAAATTAGCTATTTGTCTCTGATTTTGAGTGAGGTATATAAAATGAAGTTTGGGGATTATCATGAAATCTTATGCTTATATTCATGCTGTCTTCATGCTCTGCAGAGCATAGCACTGGTTAACTATTAGATTCCTAGAGAATAGTGGCCATTTTCGTCTCTACTTTGAACAATGTGATAGTATCTGAGAACGCTAGGGGATAAAATAAGGATTTCGGGGAAACTTATTTGTATGTAGCTTCTTCCGCTAAATGGTAGTTACTGGTAATCATTACTCCCTTTGCCTTGGTGGAGAGTGTAGATTAGAATGGGGAGGAGGAGACCCTAAGAAGTGTAATGATTCTTAGATATTGTTATGATGCTTGTTGACTCTGCATTTCTTATTCAGGCTTACTTGGTCTGAACAATTCTGAGGACATAAATTTAGCAATTAGAATTCTAGTTTCTGATTTGCAGGATGCTGTAGTTGGTAGATAGATGAGGTAGGTTTAGAACAAAGTATATGCCTTGAGTGGAATTAAAATTTTTAAATTGTAATTCCTTATAAAAATTGATTTCATTTTATTTGATCCAAATAAGCATTATTCCAAAGATTTTTTTTTTTAAGAAATTGGACCTATACTGTGTTTTAAATTTTGTATCTTTAAATACAAAAGATTTAGAGTTCAGCCTTGCATATAAGTTGAGAAGGGAAAGTGGTTGAGAAAATGTCGATTCCTGAGTGTGCCTTCTATGCTGTGCCAAGAGCACTGAGGCCCTTCTGCTATTAGAGCTGTGGTGTATCACTGTTGCCTAGCCAGTGAGGTTACGCCCAAGCGAGAACATTTATGGTATAATATCCACTTAGTAGGCTTTCAGGATACAAAACAATAATGCCCTAATGTTAGAGCCTTACAAGGTAATTACACTTAAGTGGGAACAAGAAAAGTAGATGGTACTGTTTCCAGCCATTATTACATCGTGCTTTGCTATTTATAGATTACTTTCACCTACATCTCAAACTTCACATCAGTCCCGGGAGTTATCATCCCTATTTTAAGGACTTAGGATTTTTTAGAGTTCACCCTATTTCTTCTAAAGTTGGGGGCTGGCAAACATTTTCTGTAGTGGGTGGGGTGGATAGTAAATATTTCCAGTTTTGCAGACCAGATCTTTGACATAACTAACTTCCGCTGTTGTAGCATAAAAGGATCTGTACTTAAGTCAGCAGAGTTGTGTGCTGATAAAATTTTACTTGTAAAAATAAGTGGGAAATGGGCTATTGTTTGCTGATCCTCTGCTTTAAAGCATAAATAAGACTAGAGCAGTCATATGGTTTCAGAAAGTCATTCTGGGATTTCCAGAAGAGCAAGTTAAATTTTGTAACTACTAATGGCATGTAGGAAACGCAGTTGGCATGGTGTATCTTAGGAAACACTATGCTCCCTAAAGATTGCTTAGTGACTTCATTATATTTTAACAAAAATAGGTGACCTTGAAGTCCACCTTCCCAGCCTATTCCCTTGTCCTAAAACCCTGAGATCAGTTATCAAGAGCCAGTACACATTCTGTTATTCTTGGAGCACCAGGCAACTGTACAACAACTGTTATAAAAATGTTTATTGTTTACCAAAACCATTGGACCTCTTATCAAATGCTGCTTGGTAACAAAATCTTATCACAGTTTTAATAAAAAAAAAAGAGAGAAAGAAGCTAACTATTTGTCTCATTGTCATTAGTTAGACTTTCTGCAAGGTCACTTAATCCGGACTTATTCAGTGCGTTCATCAGATTCTCAGGTGTTGCATGTACTCCCTCCTGATCTTGCCAGGCAACCAGTAGCTGCTTAGCTCTCATCTTCATGTCTTCACTGTCACACTCAATTTGTCTAATTTCCGAGTCTTTCATTTCCAAGTAGGGAGCCAGGATCTTCCATTGCTCGCCCAGTTTACTGGCAAACACCTCTATTTGTTCCCCTGTTACAGGTTTGTCTCGTCGAACATCAGGGCCTAGGAAACACAGGAGATGTGAATTATGTACAAAGTGTGAGGATATGTACAGTTCAAAATATACAACAGAACTGGGAAGATACAGGGCCACTGAAATATTAACCACCTTTCATAAGCTTTATTTTAGAAGTAGAATAATTCCTTTCTGTATTTTCCATGGGGTAAATATTGTTCTAACAGACATGATCACTAGGTAGCTGTACTTTTAAAATGGAAGCTGCTGCCTTTATTTTAATAATGAAGGCCTCCCCTGAAAAGCAGCTAACTGCCCCCCTCCATTAACAGGTGAGTCACCTTCAAATGTAAATACTTCCCTTCCCATCACTTCTAAATTTTATTGCATAAAGTGTAATATTTTAGAAGTTGTCAAGCAATGTTTAAAATTCCTCATATAAGAAACAGCTGAAATAAATGGTAGAAGTTGAGAAGTAGATCAAATAACGTACCTCTCAACAAAGAACCCCAATCTTTTCCAATTTTGTAAAATAGCCAAGAAAATTCAATTCTTACTTTCATTTTCCTTCAGTAAAGCATCATTATCTTCCTCATCTTCATCCTCACCTGTTTTTATTTCTTCAGAAGGAGGCTAAAATGAGGAAGAAAGTTTAAAAGAATGCCAACTTATAAAATAACTGGGGATACTACTGGTTTAGACATGAGTGGCTGAGATACAGGGCCCAGAACTTTATCCTTGAGCATGTTACATGTGAAATTCTGGTAAGGATCACGGATGTGGGGTGGTGTTAACCTGGAGAAGGAGTGGATGGGAAAGACTCCTCTTCCCCCACACCTGGGACAAAGGGAGCCACTAAGGAGTATGGGAAGATCAAAGATGATTTGCAAACATCCAGTGTACAGTAACAATGGACTAGAGAAAACTAGGGAAGCAACCAGGTCCTTAAAAATTATCGAGGAATTTTGCAGGATAGTTTTACCATATTGTAGTAATACAATGAGAAAATTTTATTGGAAAAGAGAACAGAGTAGAAAGGTCAAGGTGCCTACTGCTACCCATAAAAGATCCTGTTTGATAAGGACAACACTGGCAGACAGGAGAAATTCACGTCTGAGTTTACAGGTGAGATAACTGTTTAACCAAAATACTGTGAGCTTTAAAATTACATGCTTTATAAAAAATTTATCAATTTATGTACTTCCTATAAATGTACACCAAAATGCATTTTTCCTTATTCTTAAATATGAAGGTTTGTAGGTGATTTTTTTTCCCCTGCGATGAACTGTAAATTCAGCTTCTTAGCGATAGTACTTTTAAGTAAGATAACAACTAAAGACTATGAAAATGCGGATGGATATTACTTACTGGTAATTCCTTTGCTAGCTTTATTACCATGTTTTCGAGATACTCTGGCAAACTTTTAAATTGCTGGTTGGTTGGCTGGAAGAAGTGAGGGCTTCTCCGTGCTAATAGTCTCAGGGCTCTCCAACCATAATTTGAATTGTTCACAGCCCTAGGAAAAGAAATGTCAGTCTTGTAATTTATGGTTTCTTTTATTTCTATATGCCTTCCAGTTAGAATATAGAATGTCACACAGTAAATTAGGTTAAGTAGCTAAAGGCACCATTCTCTTTATTCTGATCTTATTCCTAAAGAACCTCTAAGGGTGCAGTACACTTACAAATGAACACTAGAAATCAGAATCTGATGAGGCAGGTTCTTATGCAGCAAACACATCTGAAAAGTTTATATACATTTTACTTAATATAAAAAGCTGGTATGTGTATAGTGATGAGGTTCTGTGTGCAGGACAGTTATCATCTACCTCTTTGGAAAAAATAGGTTTACTATATTCAGTGAGTTGATATACTGCAATGCCATCTGCAGGTGTGAATTTCAGAGTATTTTATAAGTTCAACATTGACTTCTGACCATATTCAATATGTCATTTTCCGTTTATATAAACATCTCATTTTAATTTGCTTAATAACAAACTCAATGAATAAAAATGGTTCCAAAACAAAAAGGGGGAAGCATGAATGGACACCCCAGTGAGCAGTGATGACAGAGTCCACGAACTGTTCCCGAATGGAGCACAGCAGCGGGTGCCGCACAGGGAGAATGGAAACCTCACAAGTGCTAAAAATATGTTCCAGAACCAGCCATGCTGCAGAAGAATCCAGAGCACAAATTGTGAAGATCCCCCTAAGTTCTTAAGGGTAGCAACCTGGTTTATTTAGTCCTCTCTTACAAATGAGCGTCTAATTTTAACAAGTGCTAAACTTGCAAAACTACTCTTACACTGTGGTCTTGCCAACTTAATGTCATGGTATAAGGCTTTGCCTGATCAGTTAACCAGCCTATCGCTCTGACAACTTTCCATTTAAGCAGTTTCAGTCTTTTTAAGCACTTTCAAAATTCCCCACCAGTAATACAAACTTTCTTACTCTCCAGGAATGCATAACACTCAGGTTCTGAAACCAAGGTTCGTGGAGAACTATCTAACCTTCATTCACTCAACAACACTCAGACCTTATGGGTACCCTGAACACTTGAGACACTGCAGTCAGAAGCAGGGCCTTGAGGCCAGAGTGATTTCCTGGCTCTGGCATTTACTAGATGAGAACTTCAATACATGATTCACTCTCTGCCTCACTTTGTTTAACTGTAAAATGGAGATAGGGGCAGTTTCTACCATACAGGTAAATATGGTAAGTGCTCAGGGAGTCCCTGACAGACCGTGAATGTGTGAATGTACTGGCAAGTGTCACTGCTATTGATAAACACAAGGTATAAG